GCCTCTCAGGACCCTCCCCTTGGCTTTGGGGGGCTGCCAGTGCCCCACGGCACAGGGCAGTGTTGGGGGGCTGCAGGGCCTTTGTTCCCAGACCTCTGGCGTTGATGGGCTGTCAGAGCGGTGATCCAGCTCTGCCAGGGCTTCTCCAGGTGCGGGAAGCTGGTGTTCCTGGTGGGAGCAGCCCAGGCATCAAGGGTTTAAGACAGTTTTAAGACCAGGAAATGGCTGCTGTGATAAAATTGCACAACCAGAGCTGTGGTGTTAACATGAAAGCTCCTCAAGGGGTACAGACTGTGGTTCCTGAGGTTTAAAGCCACAAGCTTTTGCAGGGAGCAGCAGTCCTCCTTGTTAGGGCATTTTACTTCATTACCAGTGAGACTTTCTGTAATGGAATTCCAGACCTTTTGATCAAGTTTTGCCATTGCCAAACTGAATGGGAAATGGCAAAAGTTGGATAAGAGCCTCCTTTAAACTGTATTGCCTTCCTGGGCAGGCACTTCCAGATGAACTGTCACCAAGTGGCATAGTCCTGGCCTAAAGCTTCTCACAGGCTCTGATCGGGAAACAGTATTTGGAGGGTCTGGTCCCAAGCTGGGTTTTGGGGTGGCTCCGCTCAGCCTTTGCTCGGGTCTCCATGAGAGGCATAGGTTAGGATTCCCAGGTTGTATAAAGGGTACTGGTGTCCTCCTCCTCCTCCATCAGTGGGGCTACAACCACCCCTGAGCACTGTGGGTTGTTCTGGTTGATAATTCTTGTTTCATTGGTTTGGGGGCTAACAATACTGAGATTAAGCTTAGCAGCAGGAGGCCAAGGATGACTGGATGTGGTGATTACCTGGGCAGTGGCATTGAAAATACTGGATTTGAGTGCAGATGCAGCAAAACTGGGGTGAATGGGGAAAAAGTCACTAGAGGCAGATTTTTGCTGGGGCATCAAAAAGGAGTGTTAAGATCCATGGACAAGGTTATGGAGGTACGTGAATGATGTGAGTGGGGCTGTTTAGTGGTTCTGTGCTTGATCACCACAGCCCAGGTCAGGGCAATAAACCAGATCTGTTCTTCTGACTATCTCTGTGTGTCCAACCTGCTCCTTGTTATCTAGCTGTCAGCAGAAGCCTACGAATGGATCAAGAATCTTGGTGCCAGGTTGGTGCTTGCTTCAGTCCTGTCAGCAGCTGTGGCTGCCCCATCCCTGGCAGTGTTCAAGGCCAGGTTGGACACAGGGCTTGGAGCAAGCTGCTCTAGTAGAAGGTGTCCCTGCATGTGGCAGGCGTTGGAGCTGGATGGGCTTTAAGGTCCCTTCCAACACAAACCATCCCATGGTTTTATGAGATACCCCCACCACCAAGTTCTCCTGCACATGGTGTTGTCTGCAGGAGCTCCATGGAGTTGCTGTCAATGTACATTTCGTGTTGTTCTATTCTGTTCTGATAGAATGATGTGCCCAGGACCCATCGGCATAACAAGCAGGGCAGGACTGAGCTTTCAGGCAGTAACTTTTCTGGCACTTGCTCAGTGTTTGAATTGCTGTTGCTGCAGGAAAACTTTCCCCCTTTGCAGGTCCTTTGCAGTAAATGCAGAGCAGTCTCTGTGCTGATGGGGTATGAGCACAGCCTGGGGATACTGGACTGGATGACAACTAAAAGCAGCTGTAAGGGAAGGTTCTGATACAAGGGAGCCCAGTTGCAGGCTCCAGTGAACTGAAGGTTTCTCCTGCATTGCCAGTTAATTGGGGCAGATGGGAAACCAGGGCTAGATTGTACCTCCTCCTGGAGGCCATAGCTGGGGGCCTCCATCCACTGCCCGACATGGCTGTTGGAGACACCGGCAGCCGTCAGACCTCCGGACCTTGTTCTCTGCGTAGATCCAGGGGTGTGCATGTGTGTTATTTTAGATTATTTGTCCATTCCTAGAGCTTTTTCCTCATTCCCTCTGAGTGAGTGCTGGGACTTCAGGCAGTAGAAGGGAGCTAGTTGCTTCCTCGGTCTGTCTTTCTCTCCTTCCTGTATGAAACTCTGCTTCACCAGAGTTCAGAATTCAACAGAACAAGCAGTTCTGACTTCAGGATGCATCTTCTTGTTTACTGAGTCTTCGAGGCACTGGTGACACTTTGCAGATGTGGAACACAGCGTGTGGTCCCTGTAGATACAGAGCTTCCAGAGCGGTTATGCCGGGAGTCCTGGTGTCACACGTCAATAGTGCAGGTGACACAGCTGGCTAGAAGGCTGGGTTCCTGGGTTGATATTGTCCATGCGCCCTCTCGGGTTTTGTCTTCTCTTACCAGTATGAAAAATGGATCCTGAGGTGGCTCTTCTCTGGGCTGTGGCTTAGGATTTCTCTGGGGTGTCTGGAGCCACTGTGGTAACTGTCATCTGTCCAACTCCATCCTCCCCAGGGATCGGGGCTTCCACTTAACCTTTCCATGACTTAATTATGCTGCATGTAGGCTGAGGGGGCAGCACTGGTGTGTGGTGCTGATGGTGTGTTTGTGAAGCGTGGGGACCGTGTGGCTCATCATCATTAGCTGTACTTGACATGCTGAGAGCCCGAGTCTCCCCTTGTCTCATTTTCAGAGGCTCAGGCAATGCACAAGGTCTTTTTCAACTTAAACCTCGTACCCTTCTAGGCCTGAGGTTAACGTAACTTAATGCCCACTTAGTTTTGCAGTTGCACTCTGTAGCAGGATCATGTTTGTGGTTCTTTCAACTTCAGACTATTGAAAGCAGTTGCTGGTCAACACTGATCCTAAGAGTTGGATTTAATACTGGGGAAGTCCCGAAGGATTTGGAGAAATCAGATGTTACACTGGCATTTCTAAGAATAGGTGGGATGACTTGGCGGCTCCTTGCTGCTTAAGTTAGCTTCCATCAAAGGAAGGAGTCATGGGAAGCTGTTGATAAAAGATAGATATCTAAGATCATCCAGGACATGGCATGTCAGGCAAACCTGGCCTTGGTCTGGTGCCAGCCAGTGGCTGGCCGAGGTAGCAGAAAAAAGTCTTGCATAAAGATTTTAATTAAAATAATCAAGAAGCAGCGTGGTAAATGCTGGAAATCATTTCATCTGGATAAGATCAGCATCTCTATGTTCTGCACAAATGAAAGAGAATGTGGGTCACATTTACTGGAGTGACCTGACATCAAAAGAGATGCTTGCTAAGATTATCCATGGACTCTGATATTAAATCTGCTGCTTCATTAGGGGATTGACACAGCTCTTAAAAACTGTATTGTGTTGGTAGTAGACACAGAGGGATGGGTAACTACAGTGCATCATTATCTATACTGATAACAAAAGTACACCATGCTGTCTGCATCCATCAGCTGGGGTGAGAGGTGGCCCTACAGGGACCTTTGCTGAAGGCTCTGGCCCGTCATGCTACCAAGGGGAGGTAGGGCTGGAATGACCCTGCAGAGATACTGCTCCCTGGAAGGCTGCACGGGGCAATGGCCGGGTGTCCTAATGCTGGGAAGCAGCACTTTTCTTGGCAAGGTGACTTCCCTCTTTCCCCACCTGCAGCACTGTCTGTTGGGAACAGCTGTAACGTGAAAGCTGGTAAAGAGATCACATGCTGTTAGAAAAGGGCATCGTGAGCTTCTCCTGCATCCTCTTCGGGTGTTTCCAGTCAAATAAGGCTTAGGGAAGAAGTCTTCACTGATCCAAAGCTGTGATCTAGTGTAGGAAGAGACAAATCCCCCCTGCACAGTGCAGGTTCACAGGTAGCAGGTCTGTTTGCAGACAAAACCAGGGAAATAGAAACCTTCTCAGAGAATCATGACCAGCCCCTGAAACAGCCACAGTTCATAGAATCCTCCCAGACTGATAGAAGGGGCCTTAAAGCTCATCCAGTTCCATCCCCCTGCCACAGGCAGGGACCCCTTCCACTGGAGCAGCTTGCTCCAAGCCCCTGTGTCCAACCTGGCCTTGAACACTGCCAGGGATGGGGCAGCCACAGCTTCTCTGGGCACCCTGTGCCAGCGCCTCAGCACCCTCACAGGGAAGAGCTTCTGCCTAATGTCTCTTGTTGACCCACTCCGTGCTGGGGACAGCATCATCTGAGTGCCACTGGTAGTTTGAGGTGAGCAGAGTCTGGCCAGCATGTATAGAGTAGCCATGGCCTTTTTGCTCCATGTCTTTAACGGATCTGATGTTTCTGAACATCCGCAATGGCCTTTTCTTGATAGACAAGGGAAGTGTGTCCCTTTGTCACATCACACAAGGCAGCACCCACCACACAAGTGTCTCTGCCTTAAGATGGGCATAACCTGTGCAAAATTCCTTCATCCTGATGGGCAATGATCCTTCATCCAGGATGGGCTGGGACTGAAAAATGTAAGTGCACTGCCTTACATTAATTATGTTGTGCATCTGCAGAAGTCCCTTCCCTGGAAGTGGTGTTCTTCTGGGGGCAGGAGCAGCTTTTCCACCAGAAACGTAATTTATACCTCACTGGTGAAGAATGGGGTTCATCTGACTAATGTAGATGTCCATCAACAGGGGTACCTCTGCTCCTGAGCTGATGGTCTTCTGTAGGACCCCTATGAAGGGCACTTCTCCAGGGCACTGAGAGCAGGCATCATGTCTGCAGCAGCACAGGTGCTCATGTTTTTGCTGTCTGGCTATGAAAGAGGCCTGGAGCTCCTAACTCAGATGTAGACACTGAAGTGAGTTCTTCCCTTCCTGGTGGTGTTCATTTATGTTGTTCGCATTTCATCTGTGGTACCAGGAGATGGAGGAGGCTTTGGGGACCCTGTGGGAGCAGATACAACTCTTGGGGCTACCTGGGGGTCTAAGCTGATGAATGCAGTATGCATGTAGCACTAGCTCTGCCTCCTGTAGCACTAGCTCTGGTTCCTACACTGATGTTAAACTAAGCTTTGGATGCGTATTCTTTCTTAAGCAAAATACAGAGACTTTCCCATGCTCCTGGACATCCTTGACCACCTTCTGCTTGGTTTCTGCCACAGCATCTCAATCTCACTCTCCCTTTGTGTTTTGCAGCTGAAACCCCAATCGAGGAGTTCACCCCGACCCCGGCCTTCCCTGCGCTCCAGTACCTGGAATCAGTTGATGTGGAAGGTGTCGCTTGGAGAGCAGGGCTTCGCACGGGAGACTTTCTGATCGAGGTGAGTCAGGAAGAGGCAGGGAGGATGAGCAGTGGCTGCCACCAGCATCTGCCTCTGCAGGTTCTGTGTCTTGCATGAAATTGGTTTGCTCTATAAGGTATTTTGAGAGCTGGGTAATAATTGTTACTGACATGACTGCTGCCTGATGTCTTGATGAAAAGCTGCAGTTCAGATACAATAATTCAAACAGTTGCATGTTCTCTGTGCTAGAAGATGAGCTGACAGGTTCCCTCCTGTTAACTGAAAACAGAGGTTGGAGAAAAGACTCGTCAGATGCTCTCTCTGGAGGCCAATGTCAGGGTTGTTTTCTAGTGCTATTTATTGTAGCTTTGCCCAATGTGGTGCAAGTATTGGGGTGTATAGAGAAGATTAATCAGGTATGAAGGGCTCTGCTCTGGTATCACCCCTCTGGAGGACACGATGCTGGGGCTGTGCATCACCTTCATTCCACTCCGAGGCCACAGCCGGATGGATTTTCCTGATCATGTTTAACAGAAAGGAAAGCAAGGACTAGAGTCATGTTAAACAAGTGCCCGGGGGGCTCAGCAGCATGATACAGTGAGGTGAGATCGAGGTGCAGACTCCCTGGGACACAGGCAGGAGACAGAAGAGAAATGACACAGGAGCAGACAGGGCATGGAGCGGTCATGACACATGACCTGCCTCATGGTGAGTGAGCGCAGCAGAGGATGGACTTAAGGAGTGACTTAAAAGAAAGCAATAACAGTAATTTTTTTACAAGGATGCTCCTCACTGAATGAGGAAGGTGTAGGAGACAGCAGTGTGGTGCTTGCGAGGGAAAATGGTGTTCAGAACCCAGTGGGTGCGGTGTGAAGAGCCCAGGTCTGCGTTCTTACAGCCGAGGGAAAGGCTGTTGCGATGCAGTGTCATTCTGATGAGGAATGATTCAGGTGCTTGTGAATCACGCAGTCATGATGCCCATGTCTGGGTCTTCATTGTAAAGGGATCCCAGAGAGTTTGTTTCAAAGATGAGTCAGTGCAGGAAGGGGTGTGAGATGGATCCTGCCCTTTCCAAGAGAGCAACAGGGGCAGGAGAGGTGGAGTGAGGCCAACCGTGCACTAGGTGGGATGGGAACTGTGAAGGTTTGAGGTTGTTATGTGGTTTTACTCCACTGCAAGTCTCTTTGCAGCAAGTCTGAGCAGGACGCACGGGATGGGCAGTTGTACAGCCGGAGGAAGGGCTGGCATCCCCTGGGATTCTTCTCTCTTGCATCATCCCATGCAAAAATCATGAGGCTTTAAACCCAGTAATGGAGGATGTGATACCTCTGCTGCTCTGAGGTAGGGGGAGGGGATGTAGGTTGTGGTAGTGTGTGGTGTTGGGCAAGCAGAGCTGCACCTTCTGGCAGGCAGACGAGGGAGGTTGTGCTGATTGTGGGGCTGGGACCGGGAGGCGGGTGATGAGGCTTCGCTCAGCTCGGCTGTCGCAGTTCACTCTGCTGACAAACACTCCCTTTGCCAGGGGTGGTCATCACCACGTACCAGGCAGTTGGTTGAGGCACCCTGGAGCTCCCAGCAGTGCTCTGGAGGTTCACTGCAGCAAGGACCTCTGACACAGCCATGGACTTGACAGTGGATGTGTGCCTGATGGAAAGCCTTTGCCTGAAGCAGGGCTGGCTGAGGTGTGTCCATGTTGTGATGTGTCTGTGCTGAGGTGCTGAATGTGCTGTGCCCTTCGTGGGAGACATGAAGTCCCACAGTGGTGCTGGGCAGGCGGGAGGATGGACGGGTAGCATGTGGGACATGGACCCACATAGCCAGGGACACTGGGAATGCCACAGTGAGTGAACCATGGGTTTCACCCATCAGCAGAGGTGCAGGTCAGGAAGAGCACATCCCTCTGCTGCTCTCTTTCCTGCTGTTAGTGGGCTTAGATCTCCCCCCCATACCAGCAGCAAACCTTTGGAGAGCAGCTCCCAGTAGGACCGTTCACTCCATCCATCCTGGGCCCAGGTCCTGCAGCCAGAATGTCCTCAAAAGCTGTGAGTAGGAGGTTGCTGGCAAAGGCTGCGTGACCCAGATAGCCTCGTGCCAACAGCTCTTCTCTCCTTGGGGTGTCTTCTGCTGTGCCCTTGGGGTGTCTCCTGCTGCGTCCTCAGGGTGTCTCCCGCAGCCTCCAAAGAAAGCCGGTGAATTGCCAGTTGCCATAAGCCTGACAAACCCGTTATAGAGCTGGTACATTTTCTGATATGTGCTATTACAAAGCCAGGAAGAATTTCAGATGCACATAAAGCCACATGGGGTGCAAGGAGTAAGCTAAAGAGCAGGTCAGTCCTACAGCAGAGCAGCCTCATCTGGACTGGAATTTGTGGTCCTTCTCCTCTCCCTCCCAGTTGGGATGTTGAGCTGCAGAATGGATGCATTTACAGGTTGCCATTTCCTTGGGATCAGCTAGCTGAGCTGGCTTCCCCTGTGTCTGCATGATCATTAAATCTGTGGCAATAAGCATGTGTGGTTTCCCTAGGAAGGGAAGCCGGAGGTGGGTTTAGAATAAGCACAGCAGCTTTGCCGCAGTGTAAAGCTAGTTCCCATGGGCAATAGTCAGAAAATGAGATGCTGTGATATGGCTTGAAGCCTTGTACAGGTCTCTGGGACCATCTTCAACCTGTCCAAGTGTATGAATTAGAGGTGTTAAATTTAGATGGAAGGTGCATGGGCATTTTGAGACTTCATTTCTAGCCTTGTAACTTGTATCCCGAGAGCATCTCTTGCTGAAATTAATCTTTACCCTTTTAGCTTTAAGGGTATCCTAGTATTGGACATCAGTGCTAGATGTAGGTAAGGTACTTTAACACTGGAGTTAGCAAATTAGAATCACAGACTGGTGTGGGTTCGAAGGGATCTTAAAACTCATCCAGTTCCAGCACCCTGCCATGGGCAGGGACGCCTTCCACTGGAGCAGGTTGTTCCGGGCCCCATCCAGGGGCTCTGAGCACCTTCTGCACGAATGAAGGGCCATGACTGCTCTTGCCCAACATGGCAAGCTGAAGCCTGCTTGGTTGGCAGGTTGGGGTGGCTTTGTCAGTGGGATCCATGGGATGGCCGTATGGAGCTCAAGACACTTGTTTGGCAAGTGCTGGTGTCCTCACCTGGTACTTCAGCAAGGCTGGTCTGTGTTTGTGTTTAACTAGGAAACGTCTCCCTGATTTTGTGAAGGTGGAGAATTCCATCAGACCCCTCCCTGGCTCCTCCAGTCTCCCCAGTTGCTGGCACTTGAGTGCATGAACCCCTGAGACCCCTTTGTTGGTACTCGGATCTCTTGGTACACGTGCACACTCACGTGCACACGCACATGCACTGGGTCCCACAGGCCTTTAGACACTGGATCTGTCCAGCAGCTGGTCTCCAGCCCCCAGGTCTCCCTGGCTGCCTAATGCACAGGCACCCCCAGACACAAGCAGTCTCCCTGGCTGCTCCGGACACTGTGTTTACCAGTAGCTGACTTTCAACCCACTGGTCAGCCTGGTCCTTCTGTAGTAAATCCCCAGACCCCAGTCCCTTTGTTCTCCTCTGCTTGTTCTTGCCCGATCCACTATCATCCCACCCTGCTCCTGCCTTCAGTCCTTTCATTGGGCATCTTGGTAGGTCTCACACATGACAACACAGAGTTAACACAAGATCCAGCAGTAACAACCCATCCTGTCTTCAGTCTGTACATACTGATGTACGCTGCCTGCTTCCCCCTCTCTGCTGGGATTTATCTCCAGTTGATCCCAGCTTTAACAGCATCTGCTGCAGGGCTGCCCAGCTCCCTTATGCTCCTCCACCTTGGGTTGTCTTCTGGCTCTGAGCTGTGGCAGAGGGAGCTGGGAGCTGTGGAGAGACGTAACCTTAGTCCTGCAATGCCACCTACCAACAGAAATCCAGCATCAGAAGCAGCATGTTTAAAATGCTGTCCTCATGGCTTATGCTGGGGCCCCTACACCAGCCTAGTCCCTGGTCTTCCAAGTCTTTGCAGCTCTAGAGTACCATAATAATAGACTGGAATATGTTGCTCTCATTCCACTGGCTCTTTTCCCCTTGCTTTCTGTGTTTGTTGCTTTTTCTGGTCTCCTTTGTTGTGCTTCAAATCCTCTCTCAGGAGGTCCGGACACCGTTCTCACTGGAGTGAACAGGTTTAGTTTCTAATCCCAGCACATCCTGTGGAGTGCCCACAAGTGCTGAATCTGCTTTTTGTGTTGGCTCAGCCTCTGCTTGCTGCAAAGCAGTCAGTGGAAATCTGATCTGGAGTTTGTTACTACTGAAGGTTGAAGCACTGTCTGGGTTTTAAGCTTGCAGAAGAACCCTCTGATGCTGGACCGGATTGTCCAGACCCTTCAGTGCCCAGCTCTCAAAGGGGAAATTCTGCCTCGAGGAGCACAAAGCCTGCAGGGCAGGGGCTTGTCTACGTATCACACGAGCAGGGCAGGGAGATGCATCACACAGCACTGCTCCTTGCTTCATTGAAAGCCTGCACAGGGGCTTCCTGCCCACCAGCTGTGTGCTGGGCTGAGTGGAGGCAGGGAATGGGCAGAGAATGGGAAGGACAGTGGCAGGGCTGCGCTTTGGTCTGCTGGGGGAACCAGGCAAGTCACTCGTGGTTGTCTTGCAGTTCTTCAGCTCTATCCCATGAGCTGCTGCTCACCCCCGGTCTCACTGTTCCATTCACTTCCTAATCCCTTAATATACTTCCCAGCCCCTGTCCCTCTGTTTCCTGGCTTGACTCCCCCATGGCCACTGTCAGAACCGCACATCTGGTTGTGCTTTCTGATGCGCACAATTGCTGCTTCCTCCCTTTATCTGTCAAAAGCCCAGAGGCCGCCAAACAGTGCATGTGCTCACGTGTCTGGAGAAGCCACCCAGGTGAAACTCCAGCAATAACTGCTCAGCATCTTTGTTATCTGCTGATTCAGCAGCCAGAGGATCCCACTTTGCAGATTCTTGTGCTAAAACAAGTACATGAACCAAGTTATTTGGTATCATGAGGTCTTCTAAAGACA